TATATTTGCATGGGGAAAGAGGAGGGATGGAGTGGCTTTCTTGCCTAGTGGGATGGTCAAGGAATACCACAAAGATAGATGAACTTATCTTAGTGTTCACTATAGCGTCAACTTAGTTGACTCTAATTACCATCAACTCAAATGCTAAATTTATACTAAATCTCCACTTAACATCAAGGGCATAAATGTTGTCTTTGCAGTTATATATAAATAAATTTCAAATTGATAGTAAATCAAATTTAAATAATTTTCATAAATACTTTTTTTTTATAAACTTGGTAATTACTAACTTTAAAAATTAGGAAAGCAAATATTCCATACGAACAAATAGAATGCTTAATAACTTGACTAGTAGTATTTTCAATGTAAGAGAGACTCAACAAATATAGATGAAGATTATGTCTAAAAGTACCAAATAATATAATAGGCTTTCTATTTGAGACAACTTAAATTACAACGATAAATAAGAAGCATGAAAACAACTCTTGAAATCCCAAAAAAATAAATTATTACCTGGGTCTCTTTCCACACAAATTTAACATTACTGTTTAGTAACTCAATAGAAACTAGGCTTCCTTGATAAAAGTTTGTTGGTATACATCTTAAAGGAAATTCTTGCCAACAAAGCCATCTAAGATCTCTTGAGAGATAGTCAAAATCTCCAACAAGTTGTACACTAGCAAGTTGAAGCAATCTGAGTTTCTTCAACTTCTTAAAAGCTTTAGTTCTCAAACATTTTGTATTAGTTCTTGGTAACTTCAAAACCAATCCCTCAATAGCTTTTGTTCCCTAAGAAATAAAATGGACAAAAGGGTAAAGTATGCATAGCTTAAAGATATACAGTACCTAAAACTCTCATAATTCAACATTTGTTTCTAAGAGCTAGGAAATAGAAAACAATTCATAACCAAACTAATGTTCAAAGTTCTTGTGGCAATCAACCATTCAAATGAATGCTGACAACTGAGTCATAATGTGTCATTTGCTTCCTTTAGCTCTAGATATTTTAAATTTAAAATAAAATAAAATAAAAGATCTTACTGTTTCTTTTGATAATACTTCAAGCACATCCTCGTGAAACCATAACCTGCTACGTTCCTCAGGTTCCTTTGGTGACTTTTCACGAATAATTTCTCTTCCCATGTCTCGTAGCAAATCATGCATTCCAAGCTTGTTCTTATCATCAACAATTACAAGGCACCGCTCTACAAGGACACGTATTCCATTTTCTGCGAATAGTCCACAACCATTTAATATAGTTATAACATCGTTACGATCCATTCCAATAAAGAAACAAGCTATATCAAGGAATATTTCTCTCTCTGTATCATCACTTAAACCATCATAGCTTATTTTTAACTTCTTTTGTACTTGATGATTAGGAATTCTCTTTAGTTTCTCCAATACATTCTCCCACTCTGTTACATCCATTTCAAACAAATAAGACCCAAGCACTTCAAGTGCTAGAGGCAATCCCCCAGAATATTCAATTACATTTCTAGTAAGTTCGATAAACTTTTCACTAGGACTTGCTTGCTTGAATGCATGCCAACTAAAAAGCTCAATTGATTCACCTTCATCCATTCTCTTCATTATGTGCACATTGTCAACTCTTCTCCCTCTAAGTATATGCTTATCTCTAGTGGTGATGATTATTCTACTCCCAGAACCAAACCATTCACGACTCCCACACAAAGCATTCAATTGCTCCAATTCATTCACATCATCAAGTACAAGAAGTACCCTTTTATGGCATAGTCTATCCTTCAACATATTTTTTCCTAATTCCATGTTAGGTATCTTTGCTTTTGTTTCTTTGAAGATATCATATAGAATTTGTTCTTGTAAATGGACTTGTCCAGCATCTTGCTCCCAAACTTCCCTAATATGTGCAAGGAAGCTCCTTCCCTCAAAATTACGGCCAATCTTATTATAAATGGCTTTTGCAATGGTTGTTTTACCAATGCCACCCATCCCCCACATCCCGATTAGTAGAACATCATTTGATAGTTTCTGGTCAAGCAGCTGAATCATTTCTTGTACCCGAGGTTCTACTCCCACTGGATTATCAGCAACAAACAATTCTGTCTTGTCTAAATGACGCATAACAGTTTCAACAATGTTTTCTATATCCTCCCTTTCATTCCTGTAAGAAAAAACCAAAGAGAAGATGCGCATTATGATTTTTAGAGTGTGCATGATTATGTTTTTTATTTCAGAGAAACAATTTTGGAGAAAAATTCTCAATAACTAATTTTTAGAATTGGGCAGATGAGTGTAAGTGAAGAGAATGAAGCAACATAGAGAATAATATGTGTAATACAAAACTGAAGGTGAAAAACTAAAATAGCATACAGTTGATGTTTATTTTGAAAAACAAAAAATTTTATTTTAAAACTAAGACAAAGATGACATTTTGAAATAATTTTCAGAAACTACTTTTGTCAAACATGGAATTTTTTTCTCTTATTTCATTTTTAAAAATATAACTAATTTTTATAAGCTAGCTCTTATTCTCTATAATATGCTTTGTATTGAAGTACTAAGAAATGTTGAGTATTAATTTGATGAAAAAATGTGAGAAAGAAGGGAGTGCGAAGTTACCTTGAATTTAGGACTACAATCCCAGCGATGCCAGCAGCCTGACAAAGTGCCTCCCTCCAACCCGGCACCTTCTCTCTCTCCCATACAGTCAAGCTGAGCATCTCATCACCTTTTAAAATCCAGTTCTCCAGTTTTTCAAATGCTTTTCCAAACTCACCTTTTTGATGACGCACTTCAGAGGGATCAACATCATAGAACACTGGCAAAACAACCTGCCCTATGGTTCTGTGACACTCCATTATTTTGTTTAACTCATCCAAACACCATCGAGACCCTGCATAGTTTCTTGAGAATACAACAACACTAATTTCAGACTGCTGAATTGCTCGCAGCAATGAGTCTGAAATGTGATCTCCCCTTGGAAGTGACTCATCATCCTTGAAAACATTGATTCCAGCATTCCGAAGAGAGGCATAGAGATGTGAAACGAAAGAAGCACGTGTGTCCTCCCCTCTGAAGCTCAAGAACACTTCATGGATTCTCCTTTCCAAGGTGATCTCTAGATCATCGTCCTATAATGACGCAAAGGGTTTCAGATATAATGTTTCATTATCCTGTTGCAAAGGGTTAGGAGAATATTATGTAAAAGGGAAAGACGTAGCTGTACCAGAGGCGATAAATTTAGGTCATAACGGAACTTATGTAATGGGCTGTTTCTTGAGTCATCCATTTTTGCTATAGAGACAACACAAGACAAACACTCAAATTCTCACTTTGTTAGTTGAGAACGTTAAACAGAAACATCAATCGCACAAATCCACCTCAAATAAAACCCCAGAAAAAGCAGAGAACTTACCCTTTTCGGAACTTCACACAGCACAACAGGAACCTCTCCCCAGATCGAATGAAAACGGACCACCAAAAGGGATTGAAAAAAGAGAGGTATAGAGATCTGAAGTGAAACTCAATAACACCTCAATGATTCTGCAAGTTAGACATCGAATATGGAAGTGATATATGAAAGGAATTTGTTGCCTCCGAAAGCTGAAGAAGAAACGGAACAAAAAATATAGCGTAAAAATATAGCCTTAAGAATATAATATTTTAACGACTTTTATCTCTTCACGTCCACGGTGCATCTTTTAATATTTTTTACAAAAATATAAATTTAACTTACCTAATCATTCAATTATATATTCCTATTAATTGAATTAATTATATAAAATTTATACAATTTTAAAATTATTTAATTCATCACATAATTTATTTTAATGTATAATATAATAAGTAAAAGATATATAAATATTTGTTTTAAATAACATTCTAGAAAATTTTAAAGTATGTAAAAGTTTATATAAATATTTATAAGTGTAATACATCTGGTATAAAAATAAATTATGTTAAAAAAATACTTATTTTGTGTGAGATAACAATCTATGATGAAGATGAGTCTTTACTTTCAATAATGAATATATTTCATACTAATATAATAAGTAAAATATATATAATATTTATTTTAAATAATATTCTATAAAATTTTAAAGTATGTAAAATTTTATATACATAATTTTAAGTAAGGACAGATTTATATAAGTGGGACACTTGTTTCCACTACCATTTTAGATATATATATATTTTTATAAAAAAAAATATATTTAAAAAATAAAGTTATATTTTAATAAAATAAATATATATGTTTAAATTATTGTGTGTATAAAACTTAGATAATTTTAAACTATGTAAGATTTTATACATAATTTTATATACATAATAGTGGGGTCACTTGCCCTTATTACTATTTTAGAAATATAATATTTTTATTAAAAATATTTTATTTTAAAAAATAAAAATTATATTTTAATAAAATAAATATATATTTAAATTATTGTGTGTATAAAACTTAGATTCAGAGGAGATGTTTATTTATTTAATATTTGTTAAACATTTGAAGAAGATTAATTTTTAAATATGATGAAGAATACTTTTTTGATAACAAATCAATTTTTTTAAAAAGTTTAATTATAATATATA